CGTTCGACGGACGATGACATCGCCGATCTGATCGAGAGTTTCGAGCCGGCCGCCAACACCGTCTTACACAAGGTGGACGTGAACAAGATCCTGCATGCCAACCTCGACCATTGATCTGTGGGACATATCAGTAGTATTAATAGTCATGAATAAGTTTGATCTGTGGGACGCCCTTGCAAAATATGTGAACTCTTATTTGCATGTTGGTGTTAACTTTTGTTGAACCTTGTATCAGGCCTTGTTTGGATGCATGTGTATCCACATCAATCCACATGTGTTGGAGTGGAATGGAATAGAATTTAGTTTAATTCCACTCCAATCCACTTCAACACATGTGGATCGAGATGAATACATGTGCATCCAAACAAGGCCTTAGGTGGGTTAAACTCTATTGAGCGTGGTGTAGCTCAGGTCCTTTGGTCATTTTGTAGCTGGTTTGTAGCCCCTGTTGGTTGCTTTTCGCTGTAGATTTCTTTCTAGTTATCTTTGATCTGATCTATAATATGCTAAACATTCATGAGTGCCTTTGATCTCTATTGAAGCCAACTTGTGTCTTTGATAAATATGTTGAACTTGAAAGAACCATGCAGCAATGAGTTCATCTGAACAAGTCTAGAATATTGTTTTTGCTTTTGCTTTTCTGTTGTTTTGTTTCAATTTTATTTGTTTCCTTTTGGGATTCAACGAAAGTACTCGTACAAAACATGTTTTCATGTATAACGTGAGATGTGTCCAGCCCAGTCAGATTTACGATGCTAGGACTTTCTTGCGCGTGCAGTAAATTTGAATACCTATGTGGCTCCCTAAAGGAAACAAATCTGAAGAAGGTACATGTGACAACCATAATAATTTCAGCACCAGGAGCAAGTCTCGCACTTACAATATGTTCAGCATGGTGTAGCTCAGGTCATTTGGTTTCTGTTTGTTTTTTTGTTGCCTTGGTATCTTTGTCAATCTCTATTGAACTTGCAAGAACCTTGTAGCGAGGAGCAAGTCTTGCCTCAGTGTAATGCAGAGCAAAGGAGCCATTGGTGTTGAAATGTTATCACACACATAAGAAAGTCCAACCTCGGTATATTTGAACGCGTCTGACAGTATCCTCCGTAGTTTTCCTCATCTTCCTGTGATGCTTGTTACTGTATCATTTACGATTGTAAGTTTGGCTAACTTAATAGTAGCATAGCCTAGTAGTAAAATATGGCGAGTGCATTGTAGTGCTTTTGAAGTGTCATTTTTGTGTATTTTGGAGTGCCCTAATCAGCATACCCTATGTACCCATGACATTAGAAATCAAAATAAGTATTGTACTACAGCTGAATTAACGGATGAAACGGCGACAGGAGCTATAACACCACCATAACACATGTGCGCATCAAGCAAATAATTCAATTTGCAAACAAAACAAAGATGGCACACTAGTTTAGCTGAAGTAATGACAACATCCATCATTAAGGAAATTAACATGTCCAAAGACAAGCAAACAACATTGGTCCATTTAAAATGCATGATAGAGAGATACATCAAATGCAGCTTTATTTATTGCTCTGCTAATGAATCCAGGAACAAGGGAACATAAGGAAGAAAGTATGGTCTGCAGATGAACTTTTTTTAATGGTACGTCTACCATATCGAAAGACACGGATAGGGATGACATGAACTTTTTTGCGGTCCATGTTATATGCGATGATTGTTCCATCCTCCTTAGCAAAGAAAATCAAATTTCATTTTGGGTGAACTGTGATCACTATGTCCTTGTCATCAAAATCTAGGTAACCAAATCTAATATTAATCCTTCCAAACAGGATCCGCATGGTGACCGTATGCTTCAATATCTAATTATCAGTACCATAGTCTTCAAGGATCTAGATTGAAAGCTTGGAATCAATGGGACCATCAACAGTACATACACACAAGTGACCCTGAGCTTGATGCATGGAGTGTTGAAGACCATCTGGCCTATCAATTTTTCTCCATGTGTTTCCATCCATATCCACAGCAAGTATCATAGAGTACCCCCAGAGTGCCCCATAATGTGTAGATAACCGTTAAGAAACACACTTGGTTGTCTATAAAATGTCACATCAGTATGCTCACCCATTTAGATTCCTTATAGATCCATGCTGTAGTTTGAGATGAGTAGATCTCCACACCTACGCACACAGTGTTGACATCCACATATTCAATCACATGGAAGTGCAAGGAGGCTATCGGATCGAACGCCAAGCGAGCCTCACCAATAGCATGGCCAACATCATGGGTGCTAGGTGGCAGAATTTTAAACTTTTGGGTCATTGGATTGCAGACAACATAGCGGTATCCATCGGTCCCAAGGCACTAGCATAGTATGAGACCGTTGCAGCAATCTAAGAGAGCTACATTATCAATGTTGAAGGGCAAGAATTCCAAGGAGCGGGGGCGTACACCACAGACGTCGCTAGTGAAGTTTCAATTGTCGTTCTCACTATCGTAGAAGAAGCCGGCCACAGTCTAGGGCAGCTTCTTAGGGTTGTTGGGGTCCGAAATGAGGTTTTTCCAGGAGTGACAGACACATTTGCAGCAGAACAAGGAGCGGGTCCAGCGCGTTCCTCTTGTTGGGGGACTCCTCCATTTCGTCAGTGTGCAGTATGATGAGAGCTTCCTCAGTAATGAGATCATTGAAGAGGAAAATAATACAACAAAGATCCATCAGTGAAGTCCACAACTCATACCAAAGTGCAACTTTAACAACCATTAACAATTTTCATGGTACAACCTCATGTAAATTTAGAGTAGCACCACATAGATATATATAACTCAAACTAGAGTAGCACTTAATGGAGCTGTAACCATTACAATTTCAACAGTTAATTGAGCTTCCTCAGATTTCACAAGTAGAATGTCAGTGAACAAGTGGTAGTGATCATCATTGGCATCAGTAGCAACATGTGCAGCTTAAACATTATTGGCCTCAGTGATGTGAATGATGGACACAAAGCATTGATTTGCTTTTGATGTCTTCCTCTTGTTTGGAACCAAATGGATAACTTAGTTGTCAACAAGGAGAAGACACAGAAAGCAAACATATGAGCTACATCCTAATACATCCAACAGCCATGTAGACACCATTGGCATAGAAATGTGGCCTTAGATATGTTACAAGTTCAAAATACCATAAGGATTCACCGTTGGCACTGGAGCATACGAAACATAAATGTAGAATCAAGCAAGCACTGGACAGAAAAAATAGTTTAAGGCAGAAGCGAAGGGCCTGTATGTTTGACTAGATAGATAGGTATAATCAAGTAAGCAATTGACAATTAACAGGCCTAGTTGCACATAGGCATTTACAGTAAGCACACTGAACATATGCAGAAAACTAAGACACCAGCAGAAAACCAACCAGTGCCACCTCCTAGTTCTTTTCATCAGCATTGGCCTAACCAGATCTGCAATGCTATAATATTTCTTGTATACCTCATGTTCAAGCAAGGACCAAAACAGTGAAGGCAAGAAAAGGCAAGAAAGGAGACCTGTGGATCAGATCTGTCGCCTCTGCCATGGTACACGACGGACACAGCCGCCAATGCCACCGCGGTCCACCAGGAAGACCCGCCGCCTAGCCATCAAAAGGACACCTAAGCCACCACAGCACACTGGGGATCCTCCGTTGTCGCCGCCACCGCCGCCGCAAGTCCAACGGGCACAGATTTGTTTCCACTTGCAGGGGATACATCCAATATATAAGTCAACCTGTCCACACAGAGAACATATACTACTATTAGGACTCCAAAGACATGTCAACACAACCAAGCGTCTAGCGCAATGGTGAAGATGGTCTATTCCTTGATCTAGATCTCGGGTTCGACTCCTAGGTCTCATGGTTTTTTTAGTTTGAATTTATTAAACCCCGGCGACAACAAGTGACACGCAAGCCGTTGGGTCCCACAGGTCGGATAGAGAAAGGTCCCACTGGCTGTCGGGTCCCAAAGGTAGGATGGTCCCATAGGTACACGTGACACGCAAACCGTCTGGTCCCATAGGTCTATCAGGTCCCACAGGTCAGATGGAGATGGAGAACGGTTTCACAGATACACGTGACACGTAAGCCATCAGGTCCCATAGGTCGGATGCTGAAGGGTCTCGTAGGTACTCGTCGGATGGAGAAAGGACCGAGTGGAGACTTCTATGATGAATTACAAGCGTCACGAATGAGAAACTACAGGTCCCGTAAGTACACGTCGGATGGAGAAGGGTCCCACAGGTACACGTCACATGGAGAAAGGATCGAGCGGAGACTTTTATGATGAATTGCAAGCGTCACGATGAGTAATTGCAGGTCCTACAGGTACACGTTAGATGGACAATGGTCCCACAGGTACACGTCATATGGAGAAAGGATCGATCGGAGACTTTTATGACGAATTGCAAGCGTCAAGGATGAGTAACTGCAGGTCCCACAGGTACACGTCGGATGGAGAACGTACAGTGTGGAGATCTATGATGAAGCCGTTCATTATAGATCAAATATTATCCGTCACAGATGTGTAATTAGCTCAATGATGAAACCCTGTTCGTCATAGTATTAAAGGACATCGTCACATCTGTGATGAAACCATGTGCTCTTCTATGACATTTTTTGTGGCAATGCCTGATTTCGTCATAGAAAGGGAGGGTTGTAGGATCGTCACCACTGATCTATGAGGAAATGGAAATATTCGTCATAAAAAGCGATCTTCTATGATGATTTCGGATTCGTCATTAGCATTTTCGTCATTGAAGTGGATATTTCTAGTAGTGATTTGTCGCACCTGTGACCGGGGTCGGGTTCGGGGCGATGGTGTGCACCGCCTTGAAATCGGGCCCCAGTGAATGGTTTTCTTACCATGGTCTAACGACCCAGATGCCACCCAAGGCGGGTGAATCTCTAGATGCACGGAGCTCGGCACCTTGACACTCAGAGAGGCGAAGTGATCCTCCCGAATTGCAGCTATGAGCGGTGAGATAGCGACAGTACCCAATTGTTATGCATCAATGGATTCCTTCAACTGCACTTGAGGTAGAAGGGCCTCCAGCGCATGCTCAACCTTCTCTCTGAGATCCAGTACGACATGCTCCAGTTCATGAATGCGGTGGTCAACGTCGGGCTTCCATTGTAGGATTTCCGAATGCAGGGTACGCATCTCCGACATGGAGGTCTTGAGCTCATTGATTCCCTTCGAATTCTCGCTCAGAAACGCTAGGATCTGACCAAGCTGTTCTTTGGGTGACGCCATGGCCATGTGTCGTCTGGTGACGTAGGAGTGGGTTGCCAGGATTTCAACTTTGCCGCTGCTGCTGATCACGCCAACCTCGGCACGGACCTAAGGATCCTCGCGATCAATGCTACTAGAGCGAATCACAACGAGAGCCTGCCATCAGGGATCACGGCGCCGGATCGAAGCAACGAGTTAGAGAGAAAATTTGGGGCAAAATTGGTGGATCGATAGGGATCTGATACTAGTTTGTCACCAGAATCAGTATGGTAGTGGTAGTGGAGTAGAATCTTAGAACATCAGTCGCCGGCAACGAACCAGACTCTGCCGTCGCCTAGGCCGCCGACCGGGTTTCTGTTACAAGATCAAACTCTAATTGCCTTCCTCTTGATGCTCTCCTTTTACAGGATGCACACGCACCCGCCCGTTACATGGGATTGTTTCCTCCTACGCCCAATCCGACCTAGTGTAGTGCTTGTTTGGTTTAGAGGCCCGCTTACTGGTTCGCGGACCATCATCCTGAGGCGCCTCCTCCTCCACTTGATCTCCATGATCTTCAGCAGCGGTACCAACACTGGTGACACTAAGCAAGGATGGCTCTGGTGCCTCCGACACTGGCCTCGCCTCAGGGTATAACACTGCAAAGTTTTTTGTTTATATGATCAATATGTTGTTCATGCACGTAGATTGCAAGTAGATCACATGTGTACATGCTTATCACAAATGTTTTGCTAATTATTTTCTAGATTAAAATATACCAGAATTTTTCTAAATATCTAACACAATCTGGAGTCTGGCATCCTACTAAAAGGGCCTTCTCTCTAGTACATGCATGCGTATTCTAGCTAGAAAGCAAAAAGTCCATTCTACCTCCTTCAATTATCATGGTAGTTTGATTTTCCTCCCCGAACTTTAAAACCAGACATCTCACCCTGGAACTATCAAAACCTTTCAATTATCTCTCTATGCTAGTTTGGAGTGGTTTTAAAGGTGATTTTGTCTTTTTAATTAAAATTTCGTTAAATATTTGGTAATATTTTTAAACCACATAAAATGTCTATAATCTTTTAAAAATTCCTCATTAGGATACGACAAAGACAAATAAAATATTTAGAGCTCACGAGAGCATTCTTAAGAGCTTAAAAGATAGGTTTAGCTTTATCAAAATAGGAAGATATCTAAAAATATAGAAAATTTACCAAAACGTTATAATCGATGTACAAACATGTTTTAAAAATTATGCATGATAAAAATATGAGATACAACCAGCAACACTGCAACATAGATTAATGCTAAATGCATTCAAGCTATACATTTGTGCTGGTTGCATATTATGTTTTTTGTTGCGAAAAGTTTTCAAAACCCATTACATATCAATTATAATGTTTTGAGATCTTTTAAGTTTCTTCCATTTTTCTTAGAGCCAAATCTTTTTTCTTTTAAGCATCTTTAGATGTTTTTATGAGCTTTAAATATTTTATTTTGATTTTTCTTATATCAGTCTACCTCTAGTTTTTTTTTGTAATTTTTACATTTCTATGGTTTTAAAACCTTAATAAGTATTTATCCATTTTTTAACTGCCTTCAAAACCACACCAAACTAAGATAGGGAGGTAATTTGAGAATGCATAGGGTAAGACGTTTGGTTTTGGAGGTTCCAGAAAAAAAACAGACTATGATGATAGTTCACGTTGATAGAACATATATTTTTTTCCTTTTAGAGGGAAGCACGACAAGCCTTATGATTCTGCGTGTATAGCCTTACCACAAAAACGCAACAGCAAGTTTTTTTAAAAAAAAAACAGAAAAAAAACGCAACAGCAGCGATTTGACGGGCTCCTTCAAGCTAGCCCAGCACGGTCTACATGTATGTGTGCAAACATATTTTTAACTTTTGCTCAAATAAATATAAGAAAATGTCAATATTTTGGTATATAATTAGTCGAGATTTAGTTACCTTCAACACTGTCTAGAGCTGCAGTGTCTGGCACCGTCGCTGTCATGCGGTATCTACGGGCCAAGGCCTGTGCGCCTGGAGGATTAGGCCGGTGCGGAAAAGGGTCCAGGAGAGGGTGACGAGGCCTGGGAGAAGAGGGAAGCGGGCCGAATGGCTCTCAGACCGCTGCTGCCTGGGCTGAAGTCGATGCTAGATGAGAAGGGTAGTTGAGGGCCGAAGTCGGCCTGCTGACCTGTTGCCCTTAGGGAACTATTTTCCCTTTATTTGAAGTAGATTTTGAGTCTAGTTTTCAAATGAATTCAAAATGGTGTTCGAATCCTTTTGCTCACCCAATCATTTAAAAATCCACCAATATCCAACACATTCCCTAGCACTTCAACATGCGTATTAATCTATATGGAGTATGCATCACATGACTACTTTGGGAAAATAATATACGTATAGACTTAAGTTGAATTTGAGTAACATAAACTGCTTCCTTCTAATACAATGATACACACACTCATGCGTATTCGAGAAAAAAAATGTTGAATTTGAGTGAAAGCTCCAATTCAACTCATTCTTTTGGGAACCATATTATTTTTTTACAACTTGAATGAGTTGCCATGATTCTGCACCACGTCAAGGATTCTACAAGGGTATTTATCCAAACATTCTTCCAAAGAGGGTTATGTTTTACAAAAAAAACTTTTTAAAATGGTTTTATGAAGATTTTTTTATAAAATGTTTTTGCGATAGTAGCCATATTTGAATTTTGAGTGTGGGATCAAATTCAAAACTAAATATTTTTAAAATAGGATTAAGTCCACTTTTGACCCCTCAACTGTTGGGTTCATCTAATTTTGACCCTTAACTACAAAACCGTCTAATACTGGTACTAGCATTAGACGGTTTTGTAGTTGAGGGTCAAAATTAGACGAACCCAATAGTTGAGGGCCTAAAAGTGGACTTAATCTTTTAAAATATTATTTCTTTATATGGGAGATGTTTCTAAACATAGAGACAAAACATTCTCAAGAGGTTTCTGAAAAAGTAAATATTTTTAAGTATTCAAAAAGATTGGGTTCATGTTGCTTTGGTATAGACCAAAAAAAACTCGGTTAAAAAATAACTGGAAAATTATATTACCTCAAAATAAGTACTGGTTCGAAACCAACAGCCCGGTAAGGTTTTAGTTTTGACAAAAAAAACTATTGAAAATCTTTTAGAAAGAGAAACTTTGGTTGGGATTTTCAAATAAAGATAAGAAGAGATGTTTGGCTTAGGTTTGTCTATAATCTAGATGGAAGCACAAATACCATTTTTCATAATAAAGTTATATGAATATACAAATGTTGCTAATACTTTCTACAAACCTAGCCAATATTAAGAAAATTTGACTGACACGAATACCATGAAGACACTTATTTTGAAACGGAGGGAGTAGTTGCCTCGAGATGGTCCAGCTCGCAGCAGCAGCCGTCCTAGGTGAGGACGAGGAGGAGGCGCGTGGCGTAGGGCTAGAGGAGAGCCTAACCCTTTGCGAGCACCTCTTCCTAGTGGAGCACGACATGGCCCACCTCCGCCACTGAGGAGCTTCTCTAGCTGTCGTGGACCCTTAATAATTTGCTTCAGTATGGTGCTCATCTGCATGAGGGGCCGTATGGTGGCGCGTTAGAGAACCGAGGCAGGAATACCAGAGAGAAGAACGGGACAAAGGGATAAAAAGTGTGAGGGGGGCAAAAACGACATTTATTGTCTTCCTCTCTGCTACTCACGAGGAAACATTATTTTAAATAGCCATTTTACAATGGTTGGAAACGCTTCTTAACGCTTCCTGATACCTACCCAAAATAGCTATTTTTGTTGATTTTTATTCATCAAGGACAATATGGTCATTGCGAATCCCCTTCCCCCCAAACCGCACGCACCTCACTCTCTCACTCACCCTAGGCCGCCTCCACCGCCCTACTCTCTCCCTCGCTCTAGCCGGTGCCACCGCGCTCGTACGGTGTCACGCCGGTGGCCCTGCCTGCCCTGCTCTCTCCCTCAACCTCGCACGGCGCCGGCCTGCCCTCGCCCTCAATCGTCGCCGACACGGAGCCCGTCGCTCCTCCCTCCTCCTCGGCACCCCTGCCTGACGCGTGCCCTGCCCTCGGCCTGCTGCCAGGGTGAGCTCGCTCCCCGGAGAGATCTCCTTCCCCTGTGGCCTCCCTTGGCTCCGCTTCTTCATGACGACGGTACAGCTTTTCTCTCACGCACACGCACATGTTGGAACCTAAAAACAGTAACACTCTGTAGTTGCACCTCCGTGTGACACGGCCACTGATTTGTACATGTGCTATTTGATTGGGTAGCCACCATGGTTCCAAACTTGTTTCGTCTAAAATTGCCTCACTGTTTGAGTGACATGAGGCAGGTACATGCGCTTGCGATGCTCCGCCTTTTATATCTGACATTCTGATATGTTTGATGATTTTTGTTAAAAATGAGAAGCAGTAATCCGGCTATTCTCTTCAATCACCAGTGCACCCACATTTCCCACCCAGAAAAGGCAAATATATATATGTGGAGTAAGCAGCAAAGTCTGATTTTGAGCATGGACTTCTAATGTTGCTACAATAATAAATGAATAATCACTGGTTGTAGCTATCTCTAGGTTATGTAATACATGAGGCTGTTGTGGCAGAACCTCCTAAGAAATCGGGCCCACGTGCACCTATCGATGTCTCAACAGACCTCAGATAGCGTACACAAGTTCCCAACAACTTAACAGGTCTGTCGGGTGTCCTCGGGAAACCTGAATCATCCACGAATCTTTTCCAAACAGGATCCCAATCACAGTCATTGCAAATTACAACAGTTTTCAATATACATACCAGAGATTATAAAGCGGAAGACTTAAGTTTTAATATTACAAACCAGTTGTTTCGAACTTACAAAACCATAAGTGTCATACAACCATAGTAGCGGGATAATATTACATTAACATTATTTATTTCACACAAACTAGTGCCTTATCCAAAGGCCATTCATCATTCCTCATCGTCATCAACTTCAAACACTGACATGCAGCAGGGACCAA